GTCGCTCCACATTGTGATTCAATTACAATGACAATCTATTCAATATCTATCGATTCTTCCTCTCATATATTCTTTATGCACTTAATATAGATTCATTGGATCTTAAGGAATGTTTTGGCCAAGACCGAACTCTCTTATTAACATACAACCACTAGTGTTATTTTGTCTATAACCCACACCATGATCTAAGACTCGATAATGACCCCAACTATAATTCTACACGATAGATTGGTCTTGCAAAAGTAAAAGATACATAAGGTGCACTTTTGCTCCTGATGTAACTGGTATCAACAAGTTGGTTATGATGGTCAAACTATGTGTTCTTGCATATTGAATTATCACATTTTCGTCAGTGTCATCAAGTAGTTTCTGGAAGACATTGTTTAACCAAAAAGGTTTTACAAAATTTTCTTTCATAATGTCATTAGGTGGAGATATACTAATAAAGATTTTCAAAAAAGTGTCAAATCATTATTAGTCACATCGATTACAAACTCTCCATTAATTAGAATACTTAACGGTAATTCACATCTTCTAATGTAACAATCACTTCTCTAACTCGAAAGTGGAAAGTGTGGGTTTTTTTCTCCACCTCTCCATTAGCATTGTGATCAATTGGTGTTTGATATCAACATTGACAATTGTTATAATTGGTCAAATCCAACATGTTTGATACAATTTCTTACTCCTTGATCTAGCATATGTAAATGCTTAGTAACTCATAATGCATGTAATATAGGATGAAGAATTTGCTCATTTTCTTCTCTTAATGTTTTGGTAACATGCTTATCTTGAAAGTATAATAAAGAGATATCAAATGAAAGACGATTGTTGTCATTTTCAAAAGTGGTTTAAATATGAAATATTGAATATTGACAATGATAAGAAATCTAATGCAATATAGTGAAGTGAGGTAGCTTTGTATATGTAGGAAAATTGAGAGGAACTTGTGAGCAAATATTGTGAGGAAATAATGTCGGCAATTGAGGAAATAATGGTGTTCAAATAGGTTGACATTTTTGTAGAGAACACAAACACGTTGGTTGATAAGCCAACACAATGGGTTCGTGCATGCATTACTAAGTAGTATCAAAATTGTGGTCTAAGGCACAACTTTATTGCAACGGGTATAGTGGATGACACATTTCTAATAGGTAAATATCATGTACCTTTGTTGACGATAACTACACAATATAAAAATTGAAACATCTTTCTTCCAACATTTACAATAGTTGAAAGAGAACACAAAAGAAGCTTTGATATAGTTTTTCTAGCTTTTGAGATAATATGCAACATCTCAACCAAACTTATGTTTGATAATAGTCAAAGGAATCGTAATATTGTCTATCTTACATATGATCTTTAATCAGTGTATTCGACATATTGTCTCTAACTTCGTTAAGAAATTTAGGAGTACATAATTGAAACAACAAGTTATTAGCATGAATAATATATTTTACTATTACTACTAGATATTTTCACTTTTAATTTCATTTAGTAATTATATTTACTAACTTATAAATTCTTACTATTGCATAACATGAGAAGAAACAATATAAACTAATACCTAATGAATGTTATAAGATTTGAATTTCATCGTGTCATTTTTTGATTAAATGATTTTTTTTTAAAACTAGACTCAAACTATAATGGGACAAGAGGTACGAGTATATGACAATCAAGCTTACGGAACGCATGAACTCAATTGTGAAAAGAGCATCCATCTTACTCATATATATTCTTGTGAAAACCATACTTGAAATGAAAAAAATGATTGTTTGTTCAAGGATATATGTATATATATTTTAATAAATTATTTAAATAGAAAATATTATTTTAGTAATGATAAATTAAATTATACATTTAGAAAGGCGAGATAAATTTATACTCACATCTTTAAAAGGGAAAAATTGTTATATGTTTCAACGTCAAAATGAAAGGTAATAAAATACTCATATTTTTATAGAAACAAAGTAAAATTTATTTTAATGGTGTTAATTCAATTAAATAGACTAAAATTTATATATTTTAATACAAGAAATATGCAATAATAATTGCAATTCTTATGGAAGTAAGTACAATTGATTTTAAGGTCCGGTGTTAGCAAAAATATTTAAAAACATAATGGAGCACATGCACTGGATGTTCCAAACCAAACAATCTCCACCATTAATGAACGAACTTCTTTGAAGTTTCTTCTGCAACTTATTGTTCTGATAAAATTAAATTTGGTTAAATAATAGTCAAACACTGCATGTCTAGGAAATTAAATATTGGCCAGCACACACACACACACACACTTGATGTTCTTCACTCTCCATAATTTATAATTACCATTTTAAATACTGAACATGTAACATATTATAGTCAAATATTTATTACATAACATATCTTGGTCTGTGGCAGAAAGAAAGCCACCAATCTTTGTTTTGGTAAATATATATATATCAGTGGTCACACCTTGTGATTAGGATAAACCAACGTTGAAAAAAATACACATATTTTAAATGGAGCCTAATAAGCTACGACTCTAGGGCAAGGATATGTCGTTGGTTTAGCATGTGACGTTAATGGAGCCTAAAATTATGGTACAATTAATGTAAGTACACAATACAGTTCTATAATAATTTGTTATCGTATTATGTATTTTATTACGTATGTTAAATTATTTTGTTCTTTGTTTACGTGTATAATTTGTTAGAAATAGAATGTTGAACTATAATAGTATCACTTTGTGAATAAATAAATGATGTTTACTTTTTTGTGTCCATGAATGGAGGAAAGAAACCATGTCGGCATGCATGTGAGCTCTGTATAAACAATGTCAATGTCACCCATTAATAATGCAGTGATGGTATATTTAAACCACATGGCCCATGAGTTTCCTTCTTTCCACCTTCTACACTCTTGACAAGTTCAACCAAAAAAAAAGAGGTTGCTTTACGAAATGTAATTCATTGTTTGAATGATTAAGGAAAACTCTTATATTTTCTTTTTTAGATAGCTTGACGCTTGTATAGTAAACATTTCTCAAAGGCTTATATTTCATAATTTTATGTTCATGCATTCACTTATTATGCTTTTGGAGTAAAGGGTTCTCGATACACGTTATTATGTTCCAACAATGACGATATTTCTACCTTTGCATGAATGTAAACATTTTTGCATCTCACCGATCAATTCTAACTAACTTTAAAAAAAAATACTAACATGATATTTTTTTCAAACAAATAACTATAACATAATGTTGATGAAAAAAATATAAATACTTAAATAATAATTATTGACAATGACGAAAGATGCAAATGGGAGACGAAAAGGACGGAAAAGAGAAAGATTGAGAAGCAAGTTTGAGTAGTGATGATGAGAAGAGGAAAGTAATAAAAAAGTAAACAATTGCTGGACTTATCAATCTTAATAATGGCGTATTTATTTATGATTCAAGATTGTGACCTATTCTTCATTTCTAATATCCGTAAACGAAATCAGAGGTTAGATTGGTATTAGGTTGGTGAAGTCTCTTAGTATCAAACTAAAGAAAATTGGATCCAAAATATCGCCTTCATTGGACTCTGAAACGATATGATAGTCCATTTGAAACCTTCTGAAAATAACACGTACAAAATTAGATTGGTATTTTTAATTTAAGTATATAGATAATGTTTTTCTCTAATTATTTTATATTTGGAGTGCTTTTTGCATTGTGCTCAATTTTCCTTTAAAAATATTTTTTGAAGTATATCCTTTATTAGTTGGAGTAACATGCGCCCTTAGGCACATAATTAGAGCGATAGTTATTTTTTATTTTATTAGTTTATCTATTTAATTTTTTTCTCTTAATTATTATTATTATTATGCATTTATTAATTTAATTACTCATTATTTATTTTCTTTTTTTATAATTTCCATCTACTTAGTATATTTAAAAATAAAAATCAAGAGAATTTAAATAAAATAATTTAAACAAAATATCATAATAACAAAAAAATAAAAAAAATATAAGAATTTATTCATTTGTATCATTTGATAAAAATAAAATATTATACCATTAAATAATATTTAATAGGCAGGTTATTCTCATAAAGTATCATATATATATATATATATATATATAATATAAGTTAACAGATATATTATATTTGTGGTTAATTAAATAAAGTTTTTTTTAATTATTTATATAAACTATTATATGTGAATTATGTATTTAGATTATTGTATGAGGATTTTCCACTTTGACTATAATTTATGGATTATTTACGCAAAATATTATTTATGAATTATGATGTCATTTCATTTATGATTATTCAAATATAATATTATTTGTGGATTGATGAAATAAAAAATTAAAAAAATAATATTAATATATATAAAATAATAATAGAATAAATGTTACATAAATATGTTTAGTAACTTTATTTTAAATTTAATAGATATAAATTTTATGCTGAAGTTAATATAATTAAAAGAACTAATTAAATAAATATTATAATTTATAAAAAAAATAATTAATTAGTTAATATGAAAAAATAATAATTAATATTCCTTATTTATTTATTTAAATTTTCTCTCTTAATCATTATTATTTTATATTTATTCTTTTACATTTTTCTGTATGAATGAAAAAAAAATTAATATTCTTTTCGTCACCCTATAAATGATATATAATATGGAAATTATACATTACAAGTTTTTATCCAAATCAAAATTTAAAACACCAGATCCCAAATGTCAAACTCATAAACATTAAGGTATGAAAACAATTATAGGAAAAAAATAATATAAAATAAAATTAATCAGCCGGATATGTATATGTACAGTAATAATTGTGAGTTCCCCGTTCAATATCTGGAAACATAGACAACTGATATCAAGTGCTGTATTTGCAACATCTAATACTAATCTTTAATGAATTTAACCAATGAAGAAAAAAACCAAAGAATTGGTATTGGCAGAACACAAAAGCAAAAGATATGTAACATTAATTCTGAAGCCACGAATGATTAGTAAAGCTTAATTCTGGTATTAATGGGGCTCCTGCATATGGGGCATGGCTGAAGATCTTGTCCACATTCACAACATGTCTGGCAGAAAAATAAAACAAAATATGTCAAATACAATTCACTTTCTTTGATGTTTTCTGAACAAATACAGGAAGGATATTTCTATTTACCTGATGCCCACATCCGAAGGCCATGTCTTTCGCATTGCTCAGACAAATGGGACAAAGCTGAATAAGGCAAATTTAATTTGTCAACGATTGTGCGTTCGAATAACCCCTCAACAATAACCATTTCATACATTGTCAATACAATAAAATGAGTGGTGCAATAAGGCAGATCACCATTTTAGATTCTGACGTTACGTTATGAGGTTAGGAAGATACACCAAGTTTATGCAACAAATGGCACTCTAGATTTACACATTTTGCTTTATCACTTACATCAAGCATGCTTGTTTCATTTCATATCGATATTGATCAATAATCAGAGAACTGGTACCTTTTAATCTCTCTCTAGAAGAAAACCAAAAATCAGAAAGCCCCTCAAAAAGATCCAATCCATTTAAACTTTATATTTCTTTATCATAAAAAAAAAAGAGTCATTTTAACCAGATGTTAGAAGTATTGAAATCACTACATGCACTAACTTTCAAAATTACGTTGGATCAAAGTATGCTGTAAGGACCATATTTTAGAAACGTAGAGTTTAATCTATGACATTTGAATTCATAACCATAAGAAGTCTTTAGTTTATTAATGTTGTGGGTATGAACGTTTTTTTAGACTATTTAAGATTATTAATGTTGTGAATATATTTTAGTATGTTTTGAGATTTAATTAAAATATTGTATATATACTTATGTGTTATGTTTTATTTATGAATATCATAATCGTATTTTTATAAAAATACTAAAATATGATTTAGACACTAATCAAATAGGAGAGTAAATATTAGGATATATATATATATATATATATATATATATGTAAATATTTAATATTTTGAAGAAGTTTGAGTTAGAATAAAAACTATATATATATATATATATATATATATATATATATATATATATATTCAAGATTTAAATTATATTAAGGTCGTGATATGTAATTGAGAATTTATAGTTTAAATGTTTTTTTTTAATAAAATGAATTACAAATCCAATCAGACGTGGGATTTACAAATCAAGGAATAGTAAAAAAATATTTATAGATAAATTGTACGTACGTATCATTTCAAGCAATTTTTTTTGAAAAATTATATTTATATATTAAATCAATTTTATTTTAAAGATTTAAATAAGAAGGAACCAAACAAACATTATTCACACAAATATATTGGATCAGGAAATGAAATAAGAAACAAATATATATTCACACAATTTAATGCAATTCATTAATAAATTCCTCAAGGATATAGCTCCCAACAGATATAAGAAAATAACATCATTCTATTAGAAAAATACGTACTTGATTATCATAAGTGAAACTTGGGGCAGAAGGAGCTGTGGCAACTGGGTGGGTGTTGCCATGCTGAGGAGCGATAGTTGGCTCAAACCTTGCAGCATGAGAACTAAATATGGGAGGTGGGAGGGCAACTCTTTGAGGAGCACTGGCTCGCCGACTACCTCAACAGTAATAAGTATAATACATTATCACAAAACTTTTCACAGAATTTAAAATCGATAGTAAGTAACCAAATATAATTACCCAGGTAGATTAAGCTCCATTGCTGCTTTATACTGAGAAGGAATTTCCATCAAAGCAGAAAGCGCAAATGATGCCTCTTTTCGTGAATGAGGGATGTCCTTTGACATAATCTCCGTGAAATTCACAAACTGTAGAGGAAGAAGGAGAAATCAACTGTAATTCATTGGATCAATTTCTACTGGTAGAAACATTTTGTCAAATATTATGAAGTTATTTGTCATCAATTACCTGAAAATTATCAAAGGCCCGATCTGGGATATTGTCATCAAAATCCTTCATCATGTCCCATGGTCCATCTCCAACGCCAACCAATATAATTGAAAGAGGAAACTTACTGTGACAAAGGGGGCATATAAGGCACAAGAAGTTTCAACAATGGAACATTGTTTAGTTAAAACTACACCACAATTACCTGGCTGCAACAATGGCATCCACAGTCTTCTGTTCCTGTGGACTTAGTTTCCCGTGTCTGTCGAGATTTTTTGTTACCTATATCAAACATTTGTCGATGATTATTTGTAAGTCAATCACATGGATAAAATATCCAATTCTTTACTCAAGAAATATCGACAAGAATACCTGGCCATCTGCGATTATCACCAAAACATGGTACTGGCCACCACTCTGCTCGACAATTGTCATGGCCATTTCAATGATTGGCGCAAACGAAGTAGGACCTGAAATCAAGATACCTGTCATTAACTCGATGTTGGGATGTTTATGACTGGAGTAAATAGTATCCCTTGGAACAATTAGTAAAAAAAATACCTGCAAGTCGAAGATGAGGAGCAATTTCCCTATACCGACTTAGCACGTCTTCAAATCCATTGCAAAATCTTTCATCTGGATAGAAACTGAAGATATCTTGATCGTGTGTTGATGCTGCCATGATGTCATAGTAATTCTTTTAACCATATATTAACTTCAAAATAATGAAATACATAATGTGAAGAAGTTGTATTGAAAAATACCATCTCCAAATCCAAAACAGGGGATCAAGTTATCCTCATCAAATGCTGCCAAGGTTTTCCCAATAATTGATATTGCTTGTTCATAAGGATTCAGAGGATTTCCAATGTGATGCAAGCTCCATCTATTGAACGAATTCTTGCCTAAATATCAACACCAAGTTCAACAAACTACACTAGAAAACACGTCATAAATTCCAACTATCGTCACGATATATAAAGAAAGCCTTACCTGTCCACTCATTACTCTTGGTGAAATCAATACCAACAATAAGATTAGACGACTCAAGCCCTGCACGTGCAAGAGCCTCAGTAACCTGAAAGTATTTCAAATGAAAACAATGTTCAGAATTAAAACAAATACAAATTGTTGATTATTTTCCAGTTATACAAGGAAAGGCAACAGCATCATCAATTAAAATGGAGTTTGACAATAAGACAATATTAATACCAACCTAAGCCATCCCAAATCACATGAAAATAGACAGGATAGCTAGATGCATATTGTATAGTCCTAAACTCATTAAAATAACTAAGACGCAGAGCAGTTATCTTTCTGTTCAGGGATTGAATTCAGCCATTACATTACCTGTTCTATGGAACTATAATGATCAGCAATTCTTGAGTATCTCCTCTCTAGCTTTGCACCATCATAATGTACCAGTCTATCACTACCATAAGCTTCATAGCCAAAAGAAGAATAAGACGGTTGTGGATCTTCAAAACCGTAACCTGATAGCGGATCCAAGTAAGCACTCCAAGAAGAAGCAGAATAACTTGACCCTACCGATGAACTCTGCCTCCAACTATCCTCCTTAGAACTCTCACCACCCATTTGACACACAAAACACTTCTAGGAAAAAAAAATGACACGATGAAAAATGAAGCAATGAGCACAAACCAATTGCAAAGGCTATATAAAACAGCGCGAGTGTATCGTCCTCGAGGTTGCAGTTTCCATTTTCCAAGCAACTTCCAGATTTGTTCAATGCAATAAGTAACGAGCAAAAGGAAGCTTTACACAAAAGAAAACGATTGTGTCTAACAAAATCCACCATCGCAAGTAACACAACGTAGTTGCTGATAGCTTCAACCACAAGCAAGCAGGATTGTTTGACACATGTTCGAAGGGGAAAGATAAAGTGAGGAATCAGATAAAACTACTTAAAAAAAACACTCGATTCTGATGAGAGCAACGTAAATTCCTCAAGTGCATAAGAGTCAACATATCAACGAACAAAAGGCAAATTAAACGAAACGGCGTTTCATGTTTCGCCGAGGAAAAACGATGGAGGGAAAACGACTCGCGTTTAAGCGGATACGACGGTGGGGGTTCCGAAATGAACGAGATACAAAAAGTGAATAAAACGTGACATGGTGATGGTGCGTGAAGTAACGGAGGACGAGAATCTTCAATGGTGTATACGCAAATGAGTAATATAATTGAGATTCGAATTTAGAACCTTTTGAAAACTTGAAAAGGTGGTGCAAGGGAGCACTAGAAAGAGGAAAAAAAGAGAGACTTTTTTTTTCTTCCTTTTCACAGGTTTTGTGGAAGTGTAGGAGAATGAATGGCATGGAAGTTTCGCGTTTCGTGTTTCGTTTGGGAAGTGGAACATGAAAAACGGTCATAGTTGGGGACTGAGGTTACCTGCACTGGTTTAGCACTCAAGTTACCTCGTCTTCACCGCCGTAAAAGGTTCTTTTATTGTTAAGTTTTTATTAACGCAAACGTTGACACAACTTTTGAAAATTTTTAAATAAGGCATAAATCCTCAGTTTTTTTAAATTAAATAATTTGTTCATAAATTAATAATAAAAATGGGTTAGTCTACCTTTGCTTATTGGCATGCCAACGGGGCCTGTTCAGGTTTTGCCTCCGATTCCCGTACTCACTTTTTCAATCATTCTCGTCTTTCGTCTTCGATTGCCTTTGTAATATTTATATTATTTTTAAAAAGATAATTATATTTATAATAAATTAATTTTATTATCTATTTTTATATATAAATAAATATTTATAATTTTATAATTTATAATTATTATTAATTAAATATATATTTTAATTTATTATATTTATATTAAAATATATATGTAAAAGAAATATTTAATCATTTTTATTTATAACATTATTATTATTATAATACTGTATTCAAATATTTGAATACTTATAACATTATTATTATAATATTGTATTCAAACATTCGATTTTATATATAAGTTAATTCATTTTTAAGATATCATTTAAAAATATGAAATATATAGTTTATAAGAAAATATTTAATAAGTTAATTATTATTCAATTAGTTCAAAGTAATAAAAGTTTAAATTATCAATTCCTTTAATCCTTTAAAATATAAATAACTTATTTTATTAAAATAAAATTTGATATATGATAAATAAGAATAATAAGATAAAAAAATGACATAATAAAACCTAATAAATATAAATTATAAATAAAATAATATTAGGTACTACTCATATTTATGTAAAATATTTAGAAATAAATAAAGAATAAAAAAATTTAACTTTGTGTTCATCAAATTGATTGAAAAGATTGAAAAAAAAATTGATAAGGGAGATTAAAGAAATGTGAAAAATTGAAAGGTAAAAGAGAATAATATAATAAATTAATTGATATAAAATATTAAAAAAGAAAAAAAAGTAGAAAAAAAATCAAAATTGGTGAAATATAAAAAAATGATCTTATATATGATAGAAAAAGAAAAGAAAATACTTTTAAAATATTAATATTTTAAAATTTAAATTTAAATATAAAGTCGAGGCGAAACGGGTCGGGTTCGAGGTGGGGATTGTATTACCCATCCCCGCCCGACTTTATAAAGCGGGAAAAATCCAAACACATCCCGCCCTCGGTCAACTCGGATTTTCTCCATCAAACTCGGATCAGATACAGATCAATTCCCACGGGGACAGATTTAATTGTAATCCCTAATTGGTTACGTCTATCTCCTTATTATTCAATAGTTATTGAGTTGAGTTAAATTGATATGGTAGCCTCAAAAGAGAGGAGTATAAATATAGAATTAGGATGAAACCGGACCCGTTTTGCCCGCAAAAATCAGGGTGGCATGGACTCGCACGCCATACAGGACGAGTCACAGAATCGGTTCGCCGTGTCAAGAGTCTTTTATATATATATATATATATATATATATATATATATATATTAAAACATATATTTAATTATATAAATGATTTTTATGTTTTTATTTATTAATTAATATTTTATTAAATAAATTTTTTAAAAAATATTATATTGTATATTAAAATAATTAATTATAGTTAATAATTTAAATTTAATTAATTAATTAATTAGGTTTTATAATTTAAATTATAATATATTTATATTTTTTAATAATATAATATAAAAAATATAATATTTTTAATTCTAATGTTATAAAAAACAAGACAAACTAAAATAATTCATTTTACTCGTTATTCATTATTGAATTGGACCTAATTTTGTTTGTCATATTATATATTTTATGATAAATGAATTTTAATTATAAAAATTAACATTTTTATGGTCTTTCAATTATTTCTAAGTAACTAATTTAATAATAGTTCATAATTAAAATCAAATAAGAAATATAAAAGTTATTATAAATAAACTATAGAAACAATAGAATCAACAATCAAGGAGATTGGATCTTTTTTGCAAACAAGTTCGTAGATGATATTTGAAATTTGACACGGTCATATTGAAATATGACTTGGTTAGATTTTGGACCCTCATCAATCTTATGAAAAATGACATTTTCTTTAAAATTAGTTCAACTTAAATGTTTCTTATGTCGTTTCTTTTAAAAGTGCTAAGCTATAATCTTAAAATTTGGTTTGAATATTACCTTTCTGACCCATTAGGTGGCTAAGTCAAAATGAGGCTCTCGATCAACGTTCAAATAGTGTGCGACACATGAAAATCAACTAAGCATAAAGTTCTGAATATCTTTTAGTTTAAAAGTGCTCAACCAAAATCTTAGAAACTTGATAAGAAAGATAAATTTTTGGTATTTACTTTTTTGGATCACTAGGCACTCAATCAAAGTAGAAATTCTAAGTTAGAGGATCCAAATAGAAAAATTATCTTCCCACTTTTCTAAACTTAATCTCTAACATTCATCGTGAAATTTTCAGTAGGACATTTATTATCCAAATCTTGTTATCTTGGGGCTCTGAAATAATACTTGGGGTTACTGAAGGTGAAATTTTGTTTCTGATTGTATCTGTTTGATTTACAAGTACTTGTGTAGTGATTTTTCAATGGATTTGTCAACCTCATTCTTTGGTCTCATTTTTTTGTCAACCCTCAATTGACCACTAAATAGTGAAACTTAATGACAAATACTAAATCCAAAATAATTTTTGTTAGGTATCATTAAAGTATAAAGTTTTATTAAAGACAAAATATAAAATTAGTGAATTTGTTAGGTGTAACGACCTTATAAATCGCTACTATAATGATATCTTCGCAAAGTAGTAAACAAGTAAATAACGACATCTATTTTACATTAGATTACTTGTAATTGTAACATAGATTGAAATTTCGGTTCACTAACTGAACCTCAAAATATAGTAACTTAATTTATTTATATATTATACATGTAAAAGTAGCTCCTCGAAGTTATCCCACTGAACTATCCCTGTTGTCCAGTAGTCACATCTCCATCTCTCAACTCTTGATCTGCTCCCACATAAAAGTGATCATCGCAGTCCCATCCACATAGAAAAATAGGAGTAAGTATTAAATTATTCGATATAATAAAACATATATAAAAGTAATAATTATATATTATGATCAATTACGAAATTATCAACACACTAAGACACCTTCCGAAAGTATACACTAACTATGCCCGAACTCAGAGGCTATCATCTGTGGGCACATTGTGATCGGTACCCGCAGTACCATTCTGACCACCCTCCACACAAAGTAAGATTACTGGCGCCCTTCATCACTCATACTGGAGTACCCCTCCGAGCGCGCCACCAGTCATCCCCCCATCGACTTCTCACCACCTGATCTCGTAGTCTACCTGACCCGACCAATCAGTGAAGTCTGGGACCTCATTCAAAATCCTCCGACATAGTTATTACACTAATGTACTCTGTACCACCCCGGGTACCATTCAAACATAACAAAAAATTATTCACATTTGCCGGATTTTGGACCACCTGTCCTCACGGCTCATTCGGGTCAATAAAAATAGGATTTGACTAATTCTGGCACCAACCCTCCCGCTCAGTCTAGCCAATATATAACGTCTCAGGACTGATTCTGGGCATCAGCCCTCAGGCTCAGTCTGACCCACACACATCACAACACACTACTTTCATTCTCTCTCTCTATATATATATATATATATATATATATATATATATATATATATATATATATATATATATATATATATATATATATATTTTTTTTTTTTTTTTTCTAAAATCATTTCCGAAATCATTTCCGAAACTATTTTCGAAATCATTAAATTATTATTTTGCCCTTAATTTTTTCTTAAAATTCCATTTATGTCCCTAAATGACTATTTTACCCTTGGTCATTTTTGAAAATTCCTTCCATGTACCAAAAATGACTATTTTGCCCTTGGACATTTTCAAAAATTCCTTCCATGTCCCGAAAATGACTATTTTACCCTTGAACAATTTCAAAAATATCATTTATGTCCCTAGGATGTAAAATGACTATTTTGCCCTTGAACATTTTCGAAAATTACATTTATGTCCCTAGGATGAAAAATGACTATTTTACCCTTGATCTTTTTAAAAAATTCCCAACATATCCCTTTCTTCTTCCTTCGCCAAGTAACAGTTTCAAATTTTACAAATTTTGACAGATTTCAAATTACTCAGTTTTAGACAACCAAACTAGTCCCAAATCAAAATTAAACATGAATTATATCTAATTTAAGTTGAAAACAACAATTTTACCATATAATTCATTCTTAATTTCAAGAATTTAATCAATATTTAAAACTTTGCAAAATATGAATAGTAATTACCTCCAGTACGCCATTTTTAAAAATTCAGGTTTCAAATTTCTCAGTTTCAATCACTCAAATTAGTTCCAAATCAAAATTAAACCATAAACATGTTCAATTTAAGTTAAAAACAACAATTTTATTATATAATTCATCCTTAATTTCAAGAATTTCAAAAACTTTCAAACGGTGAAGAGTTGATCAAAATCAGAAATTCAAATAATTCATATCTCTACTCCTATTCCTTATTCACATAGTATCCATCAATTCAATTTCATATATTGAATGAATTAAACTTCCTCTTACCTGGTATGGTATTTCTACCGAAGTTTTCCCACTTAATTCAAGCTCTCTCCTGTTTCACCAGATCCTGCACGAGTAGAGTTCGTTGCTTGAAATTTAGACTATAGAAGAAGAATAATGAGGAACATGTGGTATGGGAGGAAGAAATTCTCGCAGAAACCATTCATCCCCCTTCGAACATATAAAAGAAAAATTTTTACTTGTGCATGAGAAAAACTTCGTTACGAAGTTTTCTTGCAAAGTAAAAAGCATACGTCACATTAGGGATAATTTTTTTTTTTTTTTTAACTAATATGTGTAGTCTTGTGCTCAATTCAACATTGACATAAAAATTAATTATCACATCAATACTTAAATAACAAAACCTAATGATAAAAAAAATAAAAATCAATGACCAATTTGGAAACTAAAAATCAACGATCAATACTTAATACATATATAGTGAATTTTTTAGAAACTAAAAAATATATTTAAGCTATATAAAAATACTTGTATAAGATAACCTTACAGAGATAATAGTATTAAAATATTTTTATAATATGCGAAAAATAAGGTAATAGTGAAAAAATATTGAAAATTATTAATATTAAAATATTTGTATTAAAATATCATTTATAGTTTTTGGGTAATTTCTCATCTCATAAAGGTGTAAATTCATGATTGTCAGAATGTAAATTCTTTATGCATATGATTAAAAAAATGCAAACATAAACTCTTTATAAATGTTAAATGTTTTTGATAGAAATTAAATGACTTTAGAACAAACCTCAGATGGAGATATTTTCTTCTATATTTTGATATTGAGTCTAAAATGGTGAATATATTTTAGGGATGACAATTTAATTCATATACGTGAGAATCATTGTATTCGTTTCGACTCCGATTTTATATTTAAATTTAAATTTTAAAATATTTTTTTTATTATATATAAGATCATTTTTTATATTTTATTATTTTTATTTTTTCTTGTATCCACTTTTTAATTTTTTTAATCTTTTATATCAATTAATATATTATCTTATTCTATTTCTCTTGTCTTTCATTTTTTCACATTTCTTTAATCTCTCTGATCAAATTTTTTTAACCAATTTGATGAACACAAAGTTAATTTTTTTCTTTATTTTTTTCTAAATATTTTACATAAATCGTAGTAATAACTAATATAATTTATATTTATTAACTTTTATTATGTCATTTTTTTAATCTTATTATTCTTATTTGTCATATATCAAATTTTATCTTAATAAAATAATTGTATTTTAAATGATTAAAAAAATTGATAATTTAAACTTTTATTATTTTGAATTAATTAAATAAGAATTAACTTATTAAATATTTCATTATAAATTATATATTTCATATTTTTAAATAATAGCTTAAAACTGAATTAATTATATATATAATCAAATATTTGAATATATTATTATTATAATAATAATATAAATATTCAAATATTTGAATATAGTGTTATAATAATAATAATAATATTATAAATATTATATATATATATATATATAAATAATGATTAAATATTTCTTTTATATACATATTTTAATATAAATGTAATAAATTAAAATATATATTTAATTAATAATTATAAATTATAAATATTTATTTATATATAAAAAATACATAATAAAATTAATTTATTATAAATATAATTATCTTTTTATAAATAATATAGATTGAAATAAAAATCCAGACAAGAACATGAACCGAGGAGACAAAACCTACCTACCTAGTCCAAATTGTCATGCCTAATATATTTAAAGATTTATCACATTATTAAAAGTCACCAGGCTCATTTTCATCAATCAAATTAATAAATAAATTAAAAAAACAAATAAAACAGATCTTTCTAATAATTTAAAATGTATATTATTTTATAGTCATTTCTTGAATGATAATAAATAATTTAGTTTATTTATTTATGTACAATATTTTATTGTAAAATAAAGAAACTAAATTATATTTAATAATAATATGATGAATTTATTTTAAAAAAATTGCGACTACTCTCAAACACTTGTTTTAATTTATTTAATTTTAAAATTAAATTAAAATTTGATACACAATAAAGAAAAAGTCAACCCTTCTATCACGTAAATATGAATATTGATAATTTATTAAAATTTCTCTACGATATAAGATCAATATAATATTTATTTTCACATTTTAATATTACAATTTTATTAGATTTATTTTATATTTATTGTCTTTATAAACAATCTTAAACATTTATAGTCACAGAATTATAAGTAAATTTATAATTAATTTATATAAAATACAAATATTTGTTATTCAATAAATCAAACATATATCTCCACATACACGCATTAAATACTGGTAATAAAAGATATAAGGGTGAATTTTTTTATTTAATTGTTTTATATTTTTATTGTATTTTATCTGTCAATGTATACAATTAAATAAAAATTTATTTTCATTATTAAATAACTATTTTAATTTTATTAAAAACAACTATTACTACTACTAATAATAATTATAATAAAAAAGTGAAATTAGGTCTTGTATTTTTCAGCTTAAAACCGTTTCACAATACTATTAATTTCGAAAGAAGCTGCACGCAGAGGGTTTCGTTTTGGCCATGGCAACGAGCGAAGAGAATGGAAAGAAGGAAGGGACCAACTTGCTTGGCTCGCCCACTTTTACAGAGTTGGGAAACGGGCGTTTCAAGTGCGTAGAAACTGGGCACGAAGTCCTTTCTAAGGACATACCCTCCTACTCTCACAGCAAAAAATGCCGTTTGGGTCTCATCGATTTCGCCTTGTCCAAGCACAAACCCCCTCTCAACATGTTCAAGCAAGACCCTCTCTGCCGGTAAACTACTCTTTTCCTTTCTCTTTCGTTTCCAATGTTTCGATTTTTCCAGTTCCTCTCTCTCTGCCTATAGCACTTCACGTGTGTCTGTCATACCAATTTTACGTTTTTTTATTAGGTTTAACAGAATATCCTCGAAACCCTGTGAATAATGCTCTCAAACATTTCAACTTATGTTTGTAATCATCTTTGTTTTTTAAAAAATGTGATTTTTCCACTGAATTTGTTTGGGGCCTTTGTGTATAAGCTAGCAACAGAATCTGGATATGAAAATGTGTCAAATTTCAAGGGTGAAAGTTTTAATTTTCCCTTTTTTTGTGTATGTCATGTATGTACTAACGTAGTTATTTTTGTTGCTCTTTTTCAGTTCCAAGTTGATATGTAAGCTAACTGGGGACAACGTGAACAAGTCAGAGGAACATATCTGGAAGCATATGAGTGGGAAAAGATTTCTCAATAAATTAGGTCAGTGATGTTATGTCTTTTACCCACTCAATATTGGATTTGGAGTGATGCTAGTGCTTCAATAATGAAGCGAGGCTTAATATTTGCAGATTATATGATATGTAATTCGATATGGATATTGGGAGCTTTATTTACTGATACACATTTTGCTTCTATAAATAGAGCGAGAGGAAGAAGAGAAGCTGTCGTCCCAAGGAATGGAAGTTGAAGAGGGATTACAGGAGTCAAAAAGTACAGATGATGGAAGAAAGGATAGAAAGAAGAAGAAAAAGAATAAGAACAAAGAAATTGACGAGGAGAACTTAAAGGAGTCGAAAAGTGCAGAAGATGGTGGAGAAAAGGATAGAATGAAGAAGAAAAAGAATAAGGACAAGGCAATTGCAGAGAGTATATCAGAAGTTAGGAAATCTTCCGATGAGGATAGTGACGCAGAAGAGGAAGACTTCTGGATGCCTCCTGTTGGTAAGAGGTGGGACCATGATGATGGAGGAGATCGATGGGGTTCCGAGTCAGAGTCAGAGCAGGAAACTGAAGATCAAAATGTAATTGGTATGTGTACCCCCTCTTGCTCGCTCAACATATTTAATATCAAATTAACTTAGACAGTCAATAACATAGAGTTTGTTTGATTTGAATTTGGGATAATTGATTTTGATATGTTGAACTTGATTGGGATGCATGCCCAGATTAATCCAGATCATAGATTTGATATTGTAATGTGTGTCATGAGTTTTTGTTTCTGAGTGTTTCTCAAACAAGTATTTAGCTGATTTATAACTTGACACTGAAGATAAATGCCTAAATAATGACTGAACAGTGAATACAAAAAAAATTGCGAGTAAACTCACAAATTCATACGATCCTACAAGTCTTGAGGGAGAGGGGGTGTCTTGCACAGGGATTGCTCTGCTGTGTGGATATTGCTTTTGGATTGGATTGGGTTTTAGTGGAAGATTGCTGAAATCATCGATCCACTTTGATCCTCTTTACCCCAAGACAAATGAAGACTCTCTTGTCCTATGTCAATGTTTTGTTTCACGTACCCAACAGATGTGTCCATTGTTATATTTCCATGTTGTTGTTGAAGTGTTTGTTGCGGGAAGGTGTTTGGAGTGTGTTGACCTGTTTGGGCCTATTGCCCTCTGTTCTTATTGTGTTTGAACCTGTTGGCTGTTGTTCTGTTTGGCGTATTATTTTCTGGGGTATTTCGTTATTTATCCTAAAAAAATCATCCTGCACCATATTTAATGTAAAAACGGGGTGCAGGATGAGTTTTTTTGGGTGCTTAAAGAAATACTCTGTTTTCTGTTCTTAGTTATTTATGACAACTATGAGTAACTGTTAGTTATTTTTCTTATGTAAATTACTTATATAGATGCATTTGTATAATATAATTTTGCATTTTAGGATCTTGTTGCTCAAGTTACTATCTTTTACCCCTCTTTTTGTCCTTTAACCTTTTATTATCCTCGAGTTTTACTGCATTGGACATTAGTACATGCGCATACTGTTGGTCGTTTCTTATTGCAACTAGAAGTGAGAGAGTATTGATCTCTCATGTTGTTCCTTACTTTCTTGTGTATTATAAAATATGATTGAGTGGATGATGTTTTTTCTCATAGATGGTGCTGCCGGTGAGAATTGCAAGGAGTCAGAAGAGTTGTCATCAAGGTATTTTGCTTCAGTATGAAATACTGGAAAAATATAGTTTCTGAATGTTTTAGGACATAGTAGTAATGTCTGACTTTCTATATTGACACCAATATATGTTGAATTTTCTTTTTCCTGCAGAACGAAAAGAATGTCAATAGAAATTGGACCAAGCAGCTTTGCCTCAAGAAAGAAGAAAAGTAAGAACCACCAAATTTAGTATTTGTTGTTAAGTCAGTTTAGCTAAGAGAATTGCAAGACACTCTACCAAATGAATTTTTTCTTGAGTCGAGAAGCTGCTTGTTCATTATATTTGTATGACAAGCAGCATGAAACTGGATTAAATTGATAGTCTTTTAAGTTAAGCATTTTTTATGTGGATTCTTTAAGTTAAGCCATCCAATTAATGTAAAGTGTGCGTTTGATATTTCATCTGAACCTTTTATAATTTTAACTGCCTCATCATTTTTAATATAAACTTAACCTCTTTATTTCTCCTCTTAATAGTTCCCTTTCCTATTTTTAGGATGATGTTTGTTATTCTCTTCCCAGTTAAGCATTTTTTTGGGGTAAATAGTCAACTAGGACCTGAATGTGTGATATGTTGTATTTGAATGAGCAAAATTTGGTAAAAAGTAAAAGTGGATTTACCAAGAGAACAAAAGGCACCATTATCATCATAGAATAAAAGAACAGGAATGCAAAAATTCATCAAGATAAAAAGAAATGCACTGCACAACCATTCATAGGTTTTATTATTATTATGTTTCAAACTAAGATTTTTCTTTTGCTACGTTTTTTTTTCTTCATTAGTCTCTATTCATTACAATTATGACATTTTCTGTGAATTAATCCTTAACAACGTTATAAACATTGAATTAAACGTCAATACTTGCAATGTAAATCCTGAAATACGTTATGCACTCAATAAGTAAAACCGATGAAAGCTTTATTACCAATGAAAATGGATCGTTTCTAATATTCCATCCAAAAATTATAAAAATTTGAAAAAATAAAAAATGTAAAAGGAGATAAAAGATGAAAACGACATTGTAATTAAAATTGATTGATAAGACAAGAAAAATTTACTATGTTAAACTAATTCATGAGAATTTTTTTCACAAGAATTAGTAGAGAATATATCATACAACGTAAAATTTCGTCAATAAAAAAAGTTAAAACTTGTTATAAAAGTTAATAAATTCTTACTAATTAGATCTATTCATCATATTATCCAATAAGTATATAATAACAACTAATATTTAAAAATTACTTACAAAAACAAAAAGTCCAGTAAAGATTCAAAATAATGTTACATAATTTTCAACGTGCGATGAAGTATGAAATCGCCTTTCTTTTATCTTTTTATTATATCTTATTCATGCATTCTCATCCTTTTCTTTCTTAGGAGAATTTAATATAGAATTTGACTGTTATTATCAACAAACAAAACACGCATCATAAATTTGGATCAACTCAAATGCAAAATATTGTCAGAAAATAAAAATAAATAATCTATCTATATATTTAAATTCTTTAAAAAGTAAATATTTTATTATTCATGTACTATATATATCATTATCCGTAATAATAATAAAAAAACCTATGAAAAGCATAATATTATTTTTCTATTTGTTCGTATGATGAAATATATTATATGATAGTATTTTTATCATTTGTATAATTTGTTCAAAGGTGACTTGTGGGTATTCTTTGATGATTGTGTGTGATGAGTTACGTGTGCTATTGTTTTTCTAGAATCCTAGTAAGCATGTTACTTAAACTCAATTTGTGTATGTTTTGGATGGTATATTATACTTAAGTCTTAATCATAATATTCATACTCGTGTGATACTTGGTGTATAACCAATACATAGGAATTCAAAAACGATTCACCCTCATGTAGCAGCATGAGTGCATAGCTAACAACGAAAAATACATAATTATGGAACTTCATAAAATATGATACAAGATAAGTTATAGTTACAAATGAAATAACAAGATAAGTTACAAGAAGTTTAAATAAATTGTGAAAGATACATGAAATTATGAAACTCACAAAAGTTATGAAAATAGTAACCCATAAAGAACTAGGCAAATGTAACTAGAACCAACTACTAACTTACTTAGAATCCAAGATAGCTTTCACCTAACCTAATGTCTCCTTTTATTTGGGTTGGAAAAAAAATTCACATATTTAAATCCAATCAATAATAATTCATATTTAATCCACTCTTAAGTTTATTTTAATGGATTTATCTTAAATCTAAATTCATATTAGACTATTTTTGAGATTAAAAAAAAATCAAGAATAAGGTAAGGTAGGTTAAGTCTAATTAGACAATATTATATCTAAATCAAACAAAATAATTTGACTAAAGATTAGACCCAGTCAATCACATTAGATCCAATCGAAGGGTCAAGTTAGATTAAATTAAATAAGGAAGATCAGTCAAAATGATATCAAATTAAGTTAAATTAATTCTAATTAAGTCAAATCAAGTTTGACTACATTATTAGATTAAATAAGATTAGTTCAAGTTAAATTATCTCAACTTAAATTAACTTAAATCTAGTATAAACGGAATCAAACAATCTTAAATTTAACAAGACCAACTAATTTAGGTCAAATCTTATTAACTTATATCGAGTGAAATTGACTTGATATAAGTAAATTATTATATTAAACTTAATTATTATGTAAAATTAAATTGAGTAAAATAAAAAATCAATAACTTATATATGAAATTAAAGTTTATATAATAATATTTTTTTAAATAATCCATCAAAAAGAAATTTAATTTTCAGAATGATTGGTCAACTAAATCTGCAACACTACACACCCATAACTCATGAAAATAACATTTACAAAATAATATTTCACTCCTTAATTATGCATATTGTTGTGAATTTATGTAAAAAATCAAATATATATCTTGTATTAATATATATATATATATATATATATATATATATATATATATAACTTAAATTCATTCTTAAATTAATTTAACAAATAATAGAATATGTTAATGATAGTCATGTGATTTAAGATCATTATGATTTTCGAAGTTGCATTTAGAATATTATTAAATTCTTAATAAAATAATAATAACGTATGTGAATAAACTCAGTGGCATAAGCATTCATAAGACTATTTGTCTAAAGGATGATAAAGTTTTCATCAGTACATATATATTGCTAGACTTTTAACTATCGTTCCATGCACTCCAAATCTACGCGTGACTTGGTAATAGTAGTTCCGTAATATTATTTCTTGATCTTCTTGAACCTGAACTAAAAAGTAAGGTGCTGATGAACTCCAAATGGAAAACATATATAAGAGAGTAACCTATCATGCTCTTCTATAAAGTTTGTAAGCCACAGCTACAACGGCTACAGCTCCAACCACACCAACAGCTGTCAGAATATCACGCTGCTGTAATACAGGCCAATTACAGCAGACTTTGCTCCCCTTCTTTGTATATTCTTCAGGTTTTTCTTCAATCCCGTTGTTTCTCTCAACACTCTCACTTCTGCAACAGGAAACCCCATTAGCACCCTGACAACAACCAACGTTTTCTTCGCTCCTCAGATTCTCACTTTCAATTTGATTATTCTTGTCCTTGCTGGCATCCTCTCCATTAGCAACTTTCTGGTCATCTGCTCCCTTATCTATTGCAACAGATTGCCCCATTTGGCCCCTGTTACAATTTCATGAAGTTTAGCCAATATTTCTCGATTATAAGGAAAGAAATTGTCAATCCTTAATACAGAATTTCTAGATTCGATGATCATGAAAAATTGTTAATCCTAATACACAATTTCAAGCTTTATTGGCAACATGTTCCTTCTAGAATATATTTGCTTAATCACATGCCTGCTATCATATTTCACCTTACGATACAGAATATCATATCTACGATGCAATAATTTCAAATACAAAAATGGTCACAATCAAATATTTGTTGATACCAGAATAGTTGACAGAAGAGAAGAAACAAAAAAGGAAACGAAATCAAAATTTGATAATCATCCGAAGCCTAGAGCAAAAATATCTAACAAGGGTGGAGGTCGTCTCTAACTATCCAGACACTCAGATCAATTGTCCATGCATGTGAAATGAAACAGTGATTGTTTTTGAACAATCTTCAACAAAGTTCAATACCCAAAAGCAGAATACACTAAAATGACAAAAAATACGTTATAAATGTTTACTTTTTGGTCATAAGAAACAATATATCCTTCAAAATAACATTGATTAAAAGATACCAAATTCATGACCACAAAAATACCAACCTCCAAAGTCGTTGGATGATCTCTCCTTTTGCAATATGTTGGTCCAACAATTCGGAAACATCATTAGGAGTAACATAGCCATACCTGTAAATAATAATTATGTACTATAATTAAACCGTACTGAATTCCTTAAAAATTAGAGGATGCAACTTGAGATCTTACCAGTGTCCCATAGTTTTTCCATCTGTTTCTGGGCTAAATATGATAACATTCCCAGCATACTTATGCCCACCAATATGAGAACAGGCTGTAACAGATATCTGATCCTTCAAGCCTCGGAGCTCAATCTCCTCATTCAGCTTCTTGATGAGAGCTGGCCCACATACACCACATCTCACGTCACGACTTTCATGAGCACATACATAAACGTGTGAACCACTAAACACCTCCGGGGCTACACCAGTCCATGGTTTACCACTCAGCAAAACATCTTCAAAAAAGCTATCAACATTTGATTCCTCCAAACCCCTGCCAAATCAAAGGAAAAAGAAAAAGGGCCTCAAAAACAATAGAAAATTGCAACACTTAAAACCCGAAACCCCTCATTCATAAATAAAAGACCAAATTTCATAGAGATCACTTCAACTAAATACCAGTTTAAACAAGTTTATAATTTCCACCTATCCAAATAATGATGGTGTAATGTTAGAGTATCTCTTTTTGGAGAAGTTAATTGTGTCAGTTAACTAATTCTATAAATAGTGATTGGTTGTGCATGAAAGGGGCAGGTGAATTCTACTGTAAATTCTTTCTCTATATCTCATTCTCTATCAATAATGATTCTTGAAACTCTTTCTTTTTTTGGAGTTTCCTGCACCAATTGTATTCTTGAAGCTCTTTGAAGTTCCTGGAATTCCTATTACTTGAGTTCTATATCAACTGTTATCAGAGTTGTCACGTTCCTGAACATATGCTTCTTCAACTATGGACTCGACAAGCAGCTTTGCGAGAAATGGAGAAAAGGTAGAAACTCGCATTCATGAGAATATTGAAGCAAAAATTATGGAATTGGAAAGGGTGATGCAAAAGATATTAAATGAATCCTTAAAAGGCACCATTACTGAACTGCACCAAAAATTCTTGAAGATTCAGAAAGGCGGATCTTCTTAGGAGCTGAGGGAGGTCGTGGCTCCCCCAAAGTTTTGTAACTTCCATATAATTTATGATATTGACCCCCCAAACTTAATGAACATTTAATATATTTATTTGTATATTTACAATTTTATCCTCTCAGCCCCTCCTCAATTTTATAACTCTCATATAATTTATGATTTTGTCACCCTTATAGTTAATGATCATTTAATATATTTAATTATATATCTACAATTTTATCCTTTCACCCGTTCTTCTTCTTTCTTTCTTTTATATTTATTAATAATATATTATTTGGTCCTCCCAAAATCAATGGTCAAGATCCGCCACTAATCACATGCTACAATTCAGGACATAGAACAAATCACACTCCAGATGACGGCCAAGATTCCGGTTCTAGTAACATTTGTTCACATTCTTCTGCTCCTTATTCATGTGGAACTAGGGTAGCTGGAATCGGACTTCCAAGATTCAATGGTGAAAACGTGAATCACTAGATTTACCAATGCGAAATGTAATTTGCAATTGATTTTACTCTTGAAGAATTTAAGGTACGTTTGGCAGTAGTGCATTTCGAAGGAACACCATTGTAGTGGCATCAGGGTTTTGCTAAATCCATTAAACACGATAATTTCCAACTTGGATTGCATATGTGAAATTATTAAAGGATAGATTTTGAAAAAATGGGGAAGATCCAATGATAGAACTGATGAATTTGAGGTAACATTCCACTGTTACTTCATAGCATGAAGAATTTGATGCCATAATTAATTAATTGAACCTTTCTAAAGAATATTGCTTAGTCGTTTTCTAGGAGGGCTTAAACATGATACTCAGATAATGGTTAGAATGTTTCAACCTACTACAATGATGAAAGCTTTTACTTTAGCTAAACTCTCTGAATCTACTAACCAAAAGGGAAATACAGTTAAGATTGGAAACTTCAAAAGCAATTCTAAACATTTGATTTCTTCAAAAAATTTCGTCTTTAATGATAATAATCAAGGGGACTAAGGGAAAGGAGCACAGAAATTTAACCCCGCCTATATGAATGAAAGAAGGGCTAAAGATCTTTTGTGGTAACCTTTTACTTATGAGAATAGCGTGACTCATAAGAAGGTCCATTTACATATGGTGGAAGTAAGGTGATACAGACCCTAATCCAAATGGGCATAGTGGGCCATTGATCCAAGAAGCTACTACACGTAGACGGGGAAGGGTGTACGTGAGGAAGAAGCCTAGAAAGGGTGACATGGCAGACTAAGGGAAAGAGGTTAGTTAAAGAAAGAGAAAAAGGGGAAATTTCCGTTATATTTAGAATCAGGTGTGGGGGCCTTTTTGGGGATTTGGTTGAGTTGATTGCTTTGGGTAGAGGGCCTTTGTGGGTGTTCTAAAGGAGCCTGTGCACTGGACAGCAAGATTTCTCTTCCTTATGTATTTCTTGCTTTCAATCAAACAGAATCATTCCATTGTTCATTACATTTATTGTGTATTCTCTATTTTACGGTGTTGAGTCCTATAAATTGGTCCAACCTGTAGATACTCATCTAGCTGGAGAGAATGCCTCCAGGAAGAACAACACACAAGAGGAACCAAAAACATCTTATTAAAAAGATACAAGAGTGGAATATGTGGCTGGGCAACTTACCAAATTGAAGGAGGTGGTTGAAGAACTAGTGAATCAATCTGTGCATAACCAAAAGTAGATGGAGACAATGCCTCTAGAAGCAGCAGAAAATCAATCGAAGCTGCTTAATCTCATGTCAAGTCTTAAGAAAAAACAGTGAAGAAGGAAGGAGAGGAGTCAATTGGGTCGAAGAAATCAGGAACAAAGAGATGTAAATATGGAGGAACATCGAATATGAAACCATCTCGAACAAATTTCGTCAACCCATGAAGAAAATAGAGCAACCTTCATTCAATGGCGAAGATCCTACAGGTTGGATTGCTCGCCCAGAAATTTATTTCAATGTCCAAGAGACGAACAAGTGAGGTAGTACGAGTGAATCTTCCTCAAGTCTATATGAAAGGGGGAACAATACACTTCTTTCACTCGTTGAATGATTATGAAGATCTGACTTGGAAAGATTTGAAATGAGAGATGTTGGAGAGATACGGAGGTAGAGGTGAGGCAAGCATATACGATCAATTGGCGTTGTTACGTCATACGGGAGCATAGAGGACTACATTTGAAACTTTGAGTGGATGATCGCTCAAGTACCAAAGATGCACGAGGATCAGTATTTTTCTTATTTCACCCAAGGACTCAAGATGATATCAGAGCAAGAATGAGGAGTGTTCACATGGCGAGTCCTCTGACACGAGGTAGAATGATGAGCGTGGTTAGAGTCATAGGCGCTGAATTATCTGAGCAAAGTAGATTGTGGCAGGGAAAGGGCAACACACGTGGAGATGGAAAAACCTAATTGTGGAATTGAGTTGTTTTCAATATGGCAGGTAGATCCACCCCGCGTCAAAATAGTGAAAGTTGGAGGGGGGGGAGGGGGGAGAATGGGCCAGGCCCAATTGCAAAAGTAGAAAGGAGTGATAAAAGCAAAAATGGACCAAGAAACAAAGGAGTATACCATCTCTCTTATCAAGACCTCTTGGATAGGAAACAACGTGGGTTGTGTTACAAGTGTGGGGGGTCTTATGGGACACTCCACCGGTTAAGCAACTTTGGGTCATTTGATGGATGATGACTTACGGGTCGAATGTGAAGATGACGAGACAAACAAGAGAGAGTTTCAGTGAAGAAGAGACAAACTTAGACTGAGCTTGCACTGCCATCAGCTTGCAGGCGATTATGAAAGTAGAGGACCTCCAAGGACGATGAAGATACGAGGAAAGGTGGGTGAGTTCCCTTTGTTGATTCTGGTCGATAGTGGTGTGTCTTACAATTTTGTTTCCAGCAAATTGGTTGACGCTTTGGGTGGAGTTGGGAAAAAACATGAAGCATGAAGATTTTAATGGGAGATGGTCATCGAACTAAGACACAAGGAATATGGAGAGGAATCAAAGTGGAGTTGATGGAGGGGAATTCTTGATTGATACATTTCTTTTTTATCTTGAAGATATGGACATGATTATGGGTATGGCGTGGCTTACTACTTTAGGAGAAATGGTGGTGGATTGGAAGAAACAAGTGATGATAGTAACCACTCCACAGGGTGTTGAAAATATTACTTTATTATCTTTTATTTAAATTAGGTATTAAGAGATTTTATTATCTTTTAAGAGAGAAGGTAAAAAGACATTAGGTTATTATTCTGAATTAGGCTGTTATGATTGAGATATTATGAATATTTAATATTTTGTAATATTTGTACTCTATATATACATAGAGTACATGAATAGAAATATACACACATGATATATCGAAATACATATACACATAACCCTTCAAAAACCCAACAAATTGGTATCGAGCTTTGGTTTGACACAATGGAAGGAGAAATAAACTTTTCACAAGTCGCTATTCCGAGTTTTTGGTGGCGAAAGTTATGACTTATGGAGTCTGTGAGAATGCAATCCTATCTTGAAGGATTGGATGTATGGGAAGTCTGTAGAAGAAGATTATATTGTTGATCCACTACCCGAAAATCCCACTATAGCTCAAATGAAATCTCACGAGAGAAAGAAAAATGAGAAAGGCAAAAGCTAAATCATGTCTCGTTTCGTTGGTGTTTCACAAATGATCCTCACCGAGAATCATGACGCTAAAGTCACCCAAAGAAATTTGGGATTATTTGAAAGATCAATATGAAGGAGATGAGAAAATTCGAGGTATGAAAGTTCTAAACTTGATAAGGGAATTTGAGATACAAAAGATGCAAGAGTCTCGAGACAATTAATGAATACTCAAACAAATTGTTAGGTATTGCTAACAAAATAAAATTGTTAGGCAAAGAATTTTCGATTCTAGAATAGTTGAAAAAATTCTGGTAATCGTGCTGAAGATATATGAAACATCAATTGTTTCATTGGAAAACACAAAAGATTTGTCTAAGCAGAAGTGTTACATGCTTTACAAGCACAAGAGCAACGAAGATTGATGAGAGGAGATCATGCTGCTAGTGAAGGTTCTTTATTATATCATGATGGAGGTTCTGTCCAAGCCAAGAACAACAAAGGTACAAAATCACGAGTATTTTCTGTTTGTCCTTATTGCAAGAAAAATAATCACACACCCAACAAGTGTTGGTGGAGACCTGATGTGAAATGTCACAAATGTGGTCAATTGGGACATATAAAAAAGATATGCAAATCACAACCAGAGGAAGTCGTTCAAGTTATAGAGGATAGAGAAGAAGAGGTACTTCTCCTTGCATCAACATGCTCTACAATCAACAAATCCACAGGTTGGTTAATAGACAGTGGTTGTACAAACCACATGACTCATGATCGAAAATTTTTCAAAGAGCTCAACGAATCACATATTTCTAAAGTGAGAATTGGTAATGGAGAAGAAATGAATGTGAAAGGTACAGGGAACAATTGCGAGTTAAAAGTCATTCGGGTATCAAATTGATTATTGATGTTTTATATGTTCCCGATATAAATCATAATTTGTTAAGTGTTGCTCAATTATTGGAGAAAAGTTATAAGGTGTCTTTTGAACACAAACTTTGTGTGATTAAAGATACAAATAACTTAGAAATATTCAAAGTTCACATGAAAGAAAAAAGTTTCACTTTAGATTTGATGAAAGAAGAGATGATTACAAATGAAGATATAAAAGAAAAGTCAAAGAAAAAGCATGAAGAAGATTTCTTGAAGGAATTTCATGTTAAGGAGGAAAATAAAGATGTAGATGAAGAAACCGTTTTTAACGTCCATCAAAGAGTCAACAGTACTACCATGAAGTTTGAAAGAAACAAAGGAGATGAAGTTGATAAAGGAAGAAATATGTTGATGAAGAAAGTGAAGAATGAAGATATGATCTCATACAAGAAAGAAGATAACAAGAAGTATAAACAAAAAAGGAGGAAAAAATATATCAAATTCAAATAAATAGATATTAAAGTAAGGAGGAATGTTGGAAATATTACTTTATTATCTTTTATTTAAATTAGGTATTAAGAGATTTTATTATCTTTTAAGAGAGAAGGTAAAAAGACATTAGGTTATTATTCGAATTAGGTCATTATGATTGAGATATTATGAATATTTAATATTTTGTAATATTTTTACTCTATATATACATAGAGTACATGAATAGAAATATACACACATGATATATCAGAAATACATATACACATAACCCTTCAAAAACCCAACACAGGGAACTAAAATGTTGAGAGGAGTTCCTCAGTAAGGGTCATTGATAATGTCAGTTTTTGGGTTGTTGGAAGAAAGCAAAAAGCAAGACGAACAAGGACTCAGATTAGAGCAAAAGCGGGTGTTGCAAGCAACACTACGAGGATTTGATGATGTATTTGAGGAACCTAAAGGATTACCTCCAATGCGTGCTAAAGAACACAAGATAATCTGAAACAGGGACAACAAGCAATCAACGTAAGGCCATATAGGTATCCTTATCATCAAAAAAATGAAATTGAAAGGCAAGTGACGGAGCTAATAGAGGTGGGCCATGCTAGGTCTAGTCAAAGTGCATTTTCCAACCCAATTATTTTGGTGAAAAAGAAAAACAATAAGTGGCGTATGTGTGTTGATTACAAGGCTTTGAACAAGGCTACACTTCCGGATGAGTTCCCTATTCTAGTAATTGAAGAACTACTGGATGAGCTGCATGGGTCTAGTTATTTTTCAAAGTTGGATCTTTGTTTTGGGTATCATCAAGTGAGGATGAAGGAGGAAGATATTCCGAAGACCACGTTTAGAGCCCATGAAGGACACTACCAATATCTCGTAATGTCATTTGGGCTTATGAATGCCCCATTTACCTTCCAAACCTTGATGAATGAGGTATTTCGTGCTTTCCTAAGAAAAGGAGTATTGGTTTTTTTTTATGAAATACTTGTTTATAGTGAGGGATGGGAAGAACATATGTTGCTATTAACGAAGCTAGTGGAGATCTTGAGGGAAAATATGTTGTTTGCAAATAAGGAGAAGTGTATTTTTAACCAAGAAAATATAAAGTACCTTGGCCATATTATTTCTATTCAGGGTGTAGCTGTTGACCCATCTAAGGTAAGAAGTGTCATGGAGTGGCCTATGCCAAAGAATGTCAAGGGAGTGCGTGAGTTCTTGGACCTAACAGGGTATTATCATAAATTCGTCGAAGATTACAGTAAATTAGCAAAGCCTCTCACTGAATTAACCAAGAAAGACAATTTTGGGTGGAATGAAAAGTCTCAAGTAGCTTTTGATGAACTCAAGAAGAGAATCATTACAGGTCCAATTTTGAGTTTCTCAAACTTTAAGGAATAGTTTGTGTTGGAATGCAATGCTTCTGGAATTGGGATTGGAACCATATTAATGCAACAAAAGAGACCCATTGCTTATTATAGTAAAACTTTGACTCCTCGTAACTTAACTAAGTAAACATATGAACATGAATTGATTGTTGTAGCATTAGCCATTCAAAACTGGAGGTCGTACCTATTGAGCCAAAATTCACTATTTTTTCTTATCAAAGAAGCCTCAAACAATTGTTGTAACAACGTATTACCACAGCGGGACAACAAAATTGGTTAGGTAAGCTATTGGGCTACAATTTCAAGATAGTTTATAAACGAGCTGATGGAGCTAAACAATATGGTTTATATCCTTGTTTGGCTAGATTGCCAAGAATTGATTGCAGAAGTCCAAGAAAATGAAAAATTTAAGAGAATAATTGAATAAGTGCAGAAAGGGAATGAGGATAGATCCTATCTGGGGCTTTCCTACAAACAAAGGGTGTTGTTTTACAAAAATAGTGGTAATTGTAGAGAATTCAACATGGATTCCAAGGCTTCTAGAAGAGTTCCATGTCACTCCTATGGGTGGGCATTCCGATTTCTATCAAACTTAGAGACGTGTTGCAGCAAATTTCTATTGGAAGGGAATGAAAGGGAATATTCAAAGATTTGTCCAAGCTTGTGATGTTTGCCAAAAACAAAAGTAGATCACTACTACACCTAACAGACTTATTCAACCTCTATCCATTCCTGATAGAATCTGGGAAGATATGAGCATTGATTTTACTACTACCTAGGTCCAAAGGGCCACGAGGCTATCATGGTAATAGTGGATCGATTGAGCAAATATTGCCATTGTGTACCTCACAAACATCTAGAGCACTTGCTGAAATTTTTGTCAAGGAAGTAGTAAGACTCCACAGCATACCAAACTCGGTGGTAAGTGATTGTGATCCCTTGTTTATGAGCTAAATTCTTGGCAGGAGTCCTTTAAGATGTAGGGAACTAAATTAAAAATGAGCAAAGCCATTCACAAATGGATGGACAGACGAAAGTGACAAATAGGTGACAAATAGGTGTCTTGAAACCTACTTAAGGTGCTTCATCTCTTTTAAACCCAAAGATTGGGTAACATGGCTACGAAAACGACACCTTCTCAGGCAGTTTATGGGCCCCCCACTAAAGATTGAGCATGTAGTTCAAGGAGAGGTGAGAGTGGAAGTAGTCCAAAGAGATCTTTTGGACTGAGATGAGGCTCTGTGTTAGATTAAGAGTCATTTGATGAGGGCTCAAAATAATATGAGAATTCAAGCAAATAAGCATTGAAAAGAAAGAAAGTCTGAAGTGGGGAATATGTTTTTTTTTTAAGCTAAAACAGCATCGCCAAAAATCAGTAACAAGCAGAAACATTCCCAAGCTTAGTACCAA